CAGCAGCAGGCACTCACATGTCGTCGCTGTCTAGCGCCAGCTGGCTGATGTTGACGTAGTCAGGATGGTGTGAGAACACGTCCACCAGCTTGCTGAAGCTGGGCCGCAGGTCGGGGCTGTACGCCCAGCAGTCCAGCATCACCTGGTAGATCTCGTCAGGGCAATCTTCCGGCCTTTCCAACCGCTGGCCACTTTCAACCACTTGTATCGCCTGCAACAATGTAGAAAAAGAGTTAGGCAATGCATTTAGAAATGTATAAAAAAATTACAATTCAGAAAAATTGAGAACCATTTTTCTTCTTAGTAATATTAATCTGAAAGTTTAGATGGATGGATCTTATTAGAATCTTCAAATCGTCTAAATGGATGTTGATGAAATTTGGCATAGAAAATAAGCTAAATCTGAAAGAACAAATAAGCCGCTTAAAGTTTTTTTAATTGTGCACGGGTGTAGCTTCTAATCTATAATAATATACAGTGAAAAGATTTGTTTTTTATATATATTGAAATGTCTCAAAAACTATCAGGCCAATTTCAAAAAATTTTGCACCATTAGAAAGCTACGTAACCCCTGCGTAACAATTTTAATTTAACATGGACAAAGTCGCGAGCAACAGCCAGTAATTTATTTGTCGGAAAACTTCGACTAGAGGTATATAAGTGGTGTACGACTGACTTCGATGCCTCGCATGTCGCCGTAGGGCTGCTTGCCGTAGGAGAACATCTCCCAGAGCGTGACGCCGTAGCTCCAGACGTCGCTGGCGTGGCTGAAGGTGCCGTAGTTGTAGGCCTCGGGCGCGTACCACTTGATGGGCCACTTGCCGCCGCGGCTCGCGCGGTAGTACGAGCTGTCCGCGGACAGCGCGCGCGACAGACCGAAGTCGCTGATCTTTGCTTGATGTCTACAACACATATTACAATGTAAATTTGAATGAACTATTTCAATTCGATGGAAATATTTACATATATCAGTGACAATGACGTTTTTTTCATATATTTAAATACGTTTAAGTGTTTAATTTCATGATACAAAAAGAAAATAAAATTGTTTTTGTAAAACTTTAACTACATACTTTTGTTATATTTCGATAATAGAAGCCTAGGGTAAGATATGTTCCTATCCAAAGTGTAGTTTTATATCAACATAAATATTAGTAATTTAATGAACGCGAAAGATTAGATGGATGTTTGTCAGCGTTCGTAGCCTACACGGGTGAACAGATTTCAATGAAATTTGGGATAGATGTAGAGGATAGTCTGAAAGAACACATGGGGTACTGACTGTTTTTAATTTCTCGCGGACGGAGTCGCGGGCGAAGGTTAGTTAAAAGGCGTGCATGTTACCTGTTGGCAAGCAGTATGTTCCTGGCGGCGAGGTCCCTGTGCACGAAGCGGCGGCGCTCCAGGTAGCGCATGCCGGCCGCCACCTGGCACGCCCACAGCCGCAGCTCGCCGCCCGCCGCGCCCGCCGGCCCCCGCACCAGCTGCTGCAGCAGCGACCCCAGCGGCACCAGCTCCTGCACCATCGCCAGCGGCGGACCCTGCGCACAACACACATGCACACTTCATACTTAGCCAGTTCAGTTGGACTGTATTGGCATTTCACTATTGTATATGAACACTAACTTGTGCCAGTGAGTTCTACAATCTATGCCTGTCCTACTGTCTAACTGTATTGGCAAGCATGAACCATTACGCAAATTAGACAAATAACCCAAATTCAAAATTTTTAAAAAAATATTACAGGAAATATAAACATTATGCTGATGTTATATCGTCGATTTTTCGAACATTGTCACTTTAATTTAAAACTTTAACTATTCCACAAAATAAATTTAAAATTAACTTGAATTCCTAAAACCGTTGTAAATAGTACTCTTACTAAAACGTAGTATTTTTAAAACTTCGTACTAACCAATGAGACTCCAATAAGCCGGACGATACATTTATGTCGCAGGGACATCATGAGGCGCGCCTCAGCGAGGAACTCCCGCCTGTTGTTGGCGGCGTGCACCGCGTGCAGCGTCTTCACGGCCACGGGCTGCGCGCCGCCGCCCGCCGGGCTGTACGTAGCGCGCACTACTGACCCGAACTCCCCCTCGCCTAGCGTCGCGCCCAGTGTTAGATCGCTCATGGGGATGAAATCTGGAAATTAATGTACTTTTTAACTCTTTATTCTAATGAAATAATACACCGGTAATAATAAGAGAATCTATAAAATTAGGAGACCTAGAAAGAGATGGATTGATTGCGTGAAAGGTGACAAGAAGGGAGTGATGACTGAGATGACGGATAGTTATTTGGATGACGCCAACCCGGTGCGACGATTCTACGGGAGTACGAAAAGGTAGGGAAGATGACTTTATAATTTAATAAGAGACTATATTAAGAATTAAAACATTACAAACAGTGAAATCTAACTAATATTATAAATGCGAAAGTTTAGATGGATGTTAGAGTTTGTAGCCTAAACTGCTGAAAAGATATCGATGAAATCTGTTGTAGACTAGACCAGATGTAGAGAATAGACTGGAATATTATATACTTGTTTTTTTATGTTACAAGCGGGCGAAAGCTAGTTAAAAATATATAAATAAATGTCATTATGGAATTAAATATAAGCATGAAATACCTTGCAGTGTGGATAGCTGGCCATCGGAATTGACTGATATTTCATTATAATTCTCAACTAGAGATGCTACAATACTATTATTAACTGGCACTTTGTACGTCTCATTGTCTTGTAAATCATCGTTGTTGTTGATTGAATCATTGCTGAAGTCAGAACAGAAGGAGAGGTTCCTCGTGAGCAGATCGAAGGCATTGTTATTGGAGACCGGCGAGGGCTGAGTATCTCCCAAGATGTCCCGCTTCACTAGTGATAATGTTTGATTCATCGCTGCTCGTGTTGGTGATTTCTTTGTACGTGGCATTGTTGAGAACTGGAATTAAATTACATTTTTTCTAGTAAGCAATAAACCATAGTCAACAAAGATTAAAAACAGACATTTTTGGTATGTTTTAAAATAACCATAGATAGGACAATAAATGACATTTGCAGCCATTAATATGTAGCAAAAAAATTGTCAATACTATTTAAATAGACTACATATATAGAATCGTATAGCCCACTAATTGAAAATGACTCAAGAAACCAAAGTAAGTAGACAGATTATTCCCAACCGTCATCACTTTGTCTCCGTGTAGGGCCAGATGAGAATTAAAGTTTCATTCGTCTCACCTTTTGGGACCAGGGGACAGTTGAAATTTACTTAATTTCTTAACGGTTCCATCCGTCCTCTGATCACAAATAAAATGATGGTTGGAACTTTTTATTCCTTGTTTGTTCCTATGAAAATGTCGCGGACGGGATGTTACCTCTGGCAGCGGGGGCTTAGGTTTGGGCGGCACTGGCGTGAGCAGGCGCGCGGGCAGGCCGTCGGGCACGCGGCTGTAGTGCTCCACCAGCCGCTCCAGCGACTCCAGGTACGGCCCGTCGTCTATGTACAGCCATTGACCCTAAAGCACGCGATTATACATAACATTAAACATTTTACTGGTGTTAAGATTGGTAATAATATATTATAAATGCGAAAGTTAAGATCGGAGATTCTCAAACATATTTCATCTAACGCCGACTTTGAATTTCAGTTATTTTGTAGCACCCTTCATTTCCATTAACGATTTAAAAAAATATTTCCCTATTAAAAAGAAAACATTCAGGAACACACATTAGGAAATATGTCAACCAATAGAGTAAGTGCATCGATATAACAAATGCAATTATTCTTATTTTTCGAAAATTAAAGCTGTTTAATTTTAAAACATGTTTTTTTTTACCTCTTTCCTAATAATAAAGTTGTAAGGTGCGTCTTCGCTGAGCACGGTGAGGACGTACGCGCCGGCGTGCCGCTCGCTGTAGCGCACGAGGAAGGCGCCGTGCGCCGCCCGCGCCCCCGCCCCCGCCGCCCCCGCCTGCCGGCAGAACGCCTCAAGCGCGCGCACCGCCTCCTCGCGGCTCAGCGTGCCGTGGTACCACTCACTTTTACTAGTTTTAGGAGGATCCGGAGTGTGGTTTTCTAAAATAAAACAACCTTTTTATATATAATTTAGAGATGTACAATATTATAAAGAAAGATTTGTATTTTTGTATGCGTAAATAACTCAAAAAGTACCAGGCCCAGTAGGGGCCGCTTTCAAAAATCTTTCATTATACAAAAGCTATGTTATCTCTGGCAAAATATGCTATGATTTTGATTTTTCTTTAATTTCACGCGAACGAAGTCGCGAGCAGCAGTATTTTTGGTGTAAAACGTATATCTTACTTAGCAACTGGTAACACTCCATATGTCCATAATGTTTGGCGAGATCTGCTGGCGTTTCCTGTGCTATTGTTCTAGGACGGGAAGGCGCATTTAGTTTTAAAAGGACCTGAAATCATTAAATAAATTAGTCAAACTCCGCCCACATACAAAAGTTTAGATTGTTATATAGGCAGTGAAATGTCATTAGGGCTTATCCCAACACTGGCTGATAGAGGCTCAAATAGTTTAAAAATTACGTCACTGTCAGATAATGGAACAAAATCCGATATTTCCATCACATATTTTACACATTGGATTGTTATCAGACAATCTACAATTTGGTGGAACATGCCCTTAGGGTTGTGAAATGAGATTTTCATCACTATTAATAGAAATAAATGTAACTTATTACCTTTACACATTCGATATGTCCTTTTTGCGCGGCATCGTGTAGTGGGACCTTGCCGGTGGGCGCGTGCCGCATCTGGTAGTTAGCATTGCCCTTTGTGATCAGCAGCTCTGTTGTACTCGGCAGGTTGTTCTGACATGTGTACTGGAAACATAATTATAGAAATCATAAGTAATAGAAACTTTCTTTAATTTTTTTTCATATCTTTTTAAATCAAATCTAATGCTATGTTCAAATATTTTTATAAAATTAGATACGTTACATGCAAAGGCGTGAATCCGAACGAGTCCCGCACGTTGACAGTGGCGCCACTTTCGATTAGTTTAGCGAGTATGTCGTCACGTCCGGAGCGCGCCGCGATGTGCACGGCAGTCTGCCCATCTTGGTTCTTGGCGTCGCGGCTGCGGTATCCGGACGCTAACAGTTGGGACACTATGTTGAGTTCACCTGCCTCCGTCGCCCTGGAATTCAAATATTCATTGACTTTTTATGGGATTTTTAGGGAAGATTTTAGTGATCAATCTATAATAATCCCTTTAACTCTACAAGACATCTTGTTACCATTTTTATAGTATTTTATTTCCTCAATTACATACTCGAGCGATGGCCAGAAGAGCGCCCCCTGCCATTGTGTTAAAATGGGGATGCCGCTAAAATCTCCCCTAAGGCGCTATTAGCTCTAAAACCGATACTTACAATTGTTACAATGGATTTTAAACAAGCAGATAATATACAATCATTAAACAGTAATCAGATGTCTAAGAGTGTCTACTTAACATTCCGTTCATAATGAGATGTTCAAACAAAAATAACGTCATTGAGAAGCGACCGTGTGATTAAAGTGAATCATTTTACATAAACAATGATTCACGAATGTCAAACAGATGTATCTGGACGAATTGTAGTTAAGATATTCTACACCCCACCATCAAAACATTCCCAGCATATGACTAATTTTATTTGTACATTTTGATCAGGTATATTGTTTAATTAATTCTAATGTAGTCTAAATTATGATTCAATGTTTATATAACAACAAAGAGTTGTACAACACATGTGCAGCTGATATTTGAAATATTTAATTCAATACTTGAGTAAATTTGGCAGGTCTAGAACAACAATGATCTCTATGGAACCCTTCATTTTATGTGTTAACCTTTTCATAATTTTATACCACTTGCTTATTTTAATTATCTAATTAGGATAAAATGGGATAGAGAAGCATCTAAAATTTATTGATAAATATAATTAAAACCTTTTTTATCATCAAAAACTTTACAATAGCTTTAAATTAAATTACTTTAAACTAGCTTTCGCTCGCGACTCCATCCGCGCGGAAAAAAAATCAAATGCAAGTAGCCTATGTGTTCTTCCAGACTATCTTCTACATCTATACCAAATTTCATCGAAATCCGTTCAGTTGTTTTGGCTACAAACTCTAACAACCATCCATCCATCTAAACTTTCGCATTTATAATATTAGTATGATTAAATTACTTCAAAGTATATAAATGCTGTTATTTAATAAAAGTTCAAACTAACATATTCATAACTATGTTATTGATGGTATTTTTTCTGTACCCAGCTGATTTTATCACTTATGAATGTTGTGAGTTAACAGTGGAAGTACACATGTATATCAAGCTCTACACAAGCAGGAAATCACCAATAAACTTGCCAGTGTTTATATCACATTCATATAAACTGCAGTGCAAGTAAAAATCAAGGGCAATAACCTGTATGTTGGCAGCAACTCAGTTGAACATGAATACACTTTTATTTTTTTAATGTCACAAGTTTTTATTTCTTACCAGCCTATTTTATGACCATATTTGGATAAGTATTTAATTCAAACCTTTTTTTATTTTTCTTTATGATATTGTTTGGTAATAAAATAAGAGTGCTATCAAGAAATTATTTTGTGTTTTTAAGTTACTTTATTTACTTTTACAGCATTAATCCTGCAAGTTAATATTGAATTTAACTGACTTTCATTCAATAAAATTCATTCTTTTTTTTTACAATAATTTCCTCTGAAACATCTATGTAAGTGGGTTGTTTTAATAAAGGACATCCTGTAGAACCTTTTGTTACATAGAACGGACACTAAGTGAAAAGTATAACAATATCTTGAATAGTTCAAACAGAAACAAATGTAAGACAATGCACTTACACTGTCCAGTATCAATGAAAATCAATTGTTCAATAGTGATGATCTTCAACAAGCATATTTATAAATCAGAGTCAATTTGTATAAGGATAAGTGAAGGAAAATTAGGAACAATTTATGACACTTGACTTAATAGAACTTCCTTCTTCAGATAATATAACTTCTAACGGCAAATGTTTGTTACATATTCACATTTAGGGCCTATCCAACCACTGGCTGATAGAGGTTCGGATAGCTTAAAATGACATCAGATAAGGTAACAAAATTCGGGATTTCCATCACTATACATTGGATTGTTAACAGACAATTTACAAGAATTTGGTAAGACTGACTCTGATGACTTTATTATTTTTCTTTTGCCTTTTATTACTTTTAATTTAAATGTAAATGCAAGAATACTTACCTAACTCAAACTCTAAGATCTTTTTTCAATCACCAGATCTTATATTAATGTTATATTTGTGGTCTAAATGGCTAAATGGATATCAATAAAAGTCAGGAAGAACACATAGGCTATAAAATAATACTTTTGTTTTTTTACTCACATGTGGGAGGTGATAATAGTAGTTTAAAAATATTTAGAATTAGTTGTGTGTTTGGTATTTTAAGGAAATATATAGCAGTAAATGCAAATATCATAATTCCAATTAGAATCTATTTTCTTTTCCATACCAGAGACAACTTAGAAAATCAACTTACCGATGTAATAAATTTGTAGTTCCTTGTGTTCGAGATTCATGTGGTGGAGGTTGCCCTTTGCAGACAACAGACAAGCGAGTAACCAGGCCATTAGAGTCTCCACGATAATGCTGGATTAATGTATCTAGTCCATGAACAGTAGTGTGTTCTTCTATGGAGAAAAAGGCATCTTCTCCATGTCTCCGTATTTGATAGTGGACTACTTCTCCCTGAATAAAAGTTACCATTTTGTGTTATAGTACTTTGTACTTTACTTTAAAACAATCACATTATACGTTGACATTTTTAAAAGATGATAAATGGACACACAATTAATTTAATATCATCTAATAAGTACAAAAACATTTCTAAAAGCTTAAAGAGGTTATAAAACTATAAATTATATTCTTACCTGATGTAAAACAGAAAGAACGTAGTCTCCAGGCGATGTATTACTTTCGCGAACTAAGAAAACACCATCTTCACCTTCTGTAGCAAAACAAAGTTTTAATAAAGTTTACTCAAAACAAGTATCAAATTATGTCAATAATTATGTACCTTCTTTTAATAGTATCTCCGCATTTTCTCGCGATATTTTCCCATGAAACCAGTTTACATTATCTTCTCTGTTCATCCTCAACAAAAAAGAATTAGTCTGAAAGTTGAAAGAAACCTGCTTTGTAAGTGTCACACATCAAAACTTTTGAACAGTTTGCACAATGTGAGTTACTGAACGAATAAAGAATTCACAGTAAGTTTAAATCAATTTATGTTAATAACTTTGCTACCGCTCATTTGTATTTTAGTTTCAAACAATTTACAAGCAAAACATTTTATAGATACTTTGATACGTATCGTAATATGAAGCAAAATTAGTTCTATTTCTTTCACACTAATGATAATAGACAACTGATTAACCGAATTATTTAAAAAAAAGAACACAAAAAGGCATCCTTGTTTTCACTAAGCTTGTTCTATGGCGTCAGAAAGAGACGGGTATAGATTGAGTATCATTTCCATTTATTTGGATTATACGCTGTAAACGTCAGATAACTTTAGTCAATTAAGAAACTTTTTTAAGTTTAAAATTCTTGGAAATCCACTTTTATCAAGCTATCGCTTTCTAGAAAGGATTAATTACATAATTTCTAGATAATTATTAATAACTCACCTTTAATAATATGAATGACGTCATGGTTGTTATCATTATATCCAACTTTAGAAGCACAAAAATATTTACAATTGGCGAATTTAATATTCCTTTAAAACGGCTATGTATTTACATTTTTTTAATTTGCACATTTTAAATAAAATTACATTTTATATTTTAGCACAACTTATTTTAGTTATATACTTTTAAAATATTCGCAGAAACGAAGTGCGTCTAGCTACAGCCGGCAGACAGGCGTGAGGCGCGGTATCCCCGACTCTGCCTTCCAACGAATGACTCATAGCAAGGTCAATTCCGAGAAATGAATCACCAGTGTACTCAGTTCAGCAATGCCATAAGTAGTACGCATTCCCTCACAACACTACTTTGCGTCGTTCTTTTAATTTGTGTATAGTAAATACGTATACAATTATGCTAAAATTAAAATATTGAAACTCGCAAAAGCGGTAACCGTGGCGATAAAACTATGCAATAATGTAAATAATCCGATATCTATTAGCGAGTTATTTTTGCTTAAAAGATGCGTTTATTATTTTTTAATTATTAGGATAAAGTAAAACAGATAAATGCACCTGTAGACAATAAATCCAGCTAATAAAGTAGCTCCAAGACATCTATTAATTAGTTTTTTGATATTTATGTTCGGAATGAGGATATATGAATAATAATAGATCACACTCGCAGTGCATCTTAATTCTACATCAAGGATGTTTGGTGACACTAATAACGATTAGTATAATCTGCAATTAATTAAGCATATTTAAACTGTTTTAATATCATCCACTAATCTAGTTTTTTTTTGTGTAGCAGCACAAGCATTACCATAGATATTTCTGATGTGACAAAGAGGTGTAGGAGAACTCTATCCTTACTCTACCTTTTTAAATAAGGAAAAGGTGGAATGGGAAGAGCGTATTGGAAAGGAGAATATTATTGTGTCCATCACTCTGCACTCCATAAAAACAGGGCAAAGCATTTGCAGCCTTTGATGTTTGGAAGCGGTCACTTCGCAATTCTAGCGATATCAAGTGTCCGCTTGTTCGTTTGCTACCTTCCTTGTATAAAATAGATTATTTATGATTTTATTTATGTTGCTACCTAAACGTAAATATATTACAAACGCCGGTAGAGTTGTGACATTTGTTTTCTTTTAAGTTATTTATGGTATTGCAACGCTCGGTTCGATTAACTTTAGAAAGTATTTGCTATAGCTAAGTGTACATGTAATGATTGCACAAACCAGTCCAGCTAGAGGCATGTTTACCTCACGAATGCAATGTTTATTTACTTTCATTTGGCAGAGTAACCTCACTGCGAACTGCGAAGAAGAACGAATGAATTACGACACAAAATGCCATTCGGTTACAACTATTACTTTAGAGTTTGTAGGTTAATTGATAAGACAATTGTAATAACAATGTTTTGTAAAGGAATATTTATACAAGATTGTTGAGTACAAACTACATTAATCTATCTGTCTTGCTTGTTGCACGTTAAAATATTTTAATTACTGAATGTACCAGGATTCTTGCTATTCTTACTATTTTTATGTGTTTTTAAATTAATTCCGTATACTCATTTCCGTACGTGTCAATGTTTTTATCATATGGTATCTGGCAAGGTCCTTAAAATAACAAGCGATGATTAAAGTTCATGAGTCAATTGCGCGGAGTCTTGTCTGTGAATTTTAAAATCCAAAATAAAGTCACATGTAAAATGTAAACCAAACAAAGTAGCTACGAAAACATAAAGTGATTTTAGCACTGTTTTAATATTTGATCAAGTTCGATTTGTTTGTACGAGTTCTTCCATTTTTTTATAATTTTTTTTTTTATATATAACAAGGTGGCAAACGAGCAAGCGACCACCTGAAACCGCCAAAATGGCGAATCGACCGTTGCCCATAGACATCCGCAATTGCAGATGCGTTGCCTACCCTTATACGACGGAGGAGGAGACGCACATATAGCGGATATTTCCCCTTCCTACGCATTTCCTCCACCGCCAAATCCATTTCCTCTTCCCATCCTCTACTTATAAGAAAGGGGTAGTAAAGGGAAAGGGACTTAAATTAGGCCTCCGGCACCACACTCATCAGAGGAAACACGGAATTGCTCCCATTTCACGCCTGTCTTCTGAGTGGTCGTGGTATTACACCGGGCGTGCCGGCCCATTCGTGCTAAGATGTTGAAGCGGGCACTACCACTGTTAAATTCGCTGATGAATGTATTAAAATCTATACAATATATAAAAGGTGCGAAATTATATATGCTGTGTGCGTGTATCATTCACATCATTCATTTCCCGATGAAAAGCGGCCCGGCCACTTTGCAGTATGTAGAGCTTGCAATTGCCGTAGTGATTACGTAATTCCAGATTTTCTCGGACAACTTTTTTGACCGTAAAAACTTTAATATTGATCTTATTTTGTTACGGTGAATAGTTACATGTTTTAGTAAATATGTTGTGTATAAGTTAAGAAAATCCGAACTTTGCACAGATATGTACGACTCTCATATACGACTATTATAGTTACATTACTTATGTGACAATAAAGAGTACTAATTGTACTATTAATTACTTGTAATTATTACTAAAGAGTGCTCTGCAGCGAATAGTAACGCTGAACGGTTAAAAGAAATTATTTTTTTCTATATATTTTCATAACCATTACAAACTATTAAGTTCCTACATATTTCAAATATTCTACTAAACTCTACTTATACTTATAAAAAACATTTAAACGCCTTCGATGGAGGATCGTACCTTTTACAGTTCTTCAATTTCTGCTTCCATGTAGTTTACAAGTCTATATTTTTACGTAATGTTAGACATAATTCAATGTCCTGAATTTCGTGTTCTCATGATGGTGTTCGTAGGGCAAGGCAGCCAGGAGCCGCCGCGTCGCCGTCGCCGAATGACTCACTCCGCTTTCTACCAACTACCAGCACCGGTCGATGACACCCAGCCCACTTCGCTATACAACACGCAACCTATTTATATATACACTAGTACGCTATTAATAAATTACACGACATTCGTCTATCAGGACAATAAAGCGATAGAAAGAATTGATCCATTTAGTTTGAGAGAATCTTTTATTGTTTTCCACAATAACCTTTATAAATAGTGGAAGAATAGTATAGACTGCGAAGCGGTATACTGAGGGTATTTTACAATTTGTCTTGTCTATTCATTTGACCCTTCTCTTATCTATGATGGCCAGAGACTACTTAAAATGAGTATTCTATCTTCAATTGTCTATTGTAGGGTTAGAAATGTTTATTTAAGCTTTTTAAATTCTATTTAAGGTTTTTTTTTCGTTCTACCAAATTAAACAACATTTCATATTATTTTAAAATGTCATGAAGAATATTTTACTTTCTGGTTTTAAATTATTGATTTCGAATGTTTAACTGTATGCCTTAAGTACGTATCGGTTAAAAAAAAATCAATATAATTATGAATCCTTGAACGCTCAACGAGAGAACCTTCCGATCGACCTCAAGTCGCGCGAAGTGACCAAAACAAATAAAAACAAGGAGACCCGGGTCCGGCCAGTTTGCGCAAAAACCAAACAGTAGCGCGGATGAGGTAATCGTTTCCATTCTATCAATGAAAAAACACAACTTCTAAAATAAGCTTTTGCCCAAACGATAACTGTACATATACGATTGTGAATCAACCCATTTGATATTCAAACCTACAGTGTAAGTTTTAAAGTCTATTTTTGTGTGTAGTTGTAGTTGAATAATTCTAAGACGCCATTTGATAATTTTAACAGATACAAATAATGAGTCATGCCGTTACTAATGCAGACCACAAAGCGTGAACGGTTACATACTTCGGACAGTTTAATAGATAATTTAAATTATAATTGCTTTACCAACTGTAATCGAGCTACTGTAGGATTTGAAAAGAGATCGCTGGAAAAAATTAAGTAACTACTTTTAATTATAGGTACTTTATCAAAACAGTAATAATAGCTGAGTGGAATTATTTTCGTCTGTCATAGAAAATGTGGCAGATTCGATTCTGATATTTGTGTGATCTTTTCAGTGTTTACTAGATATTATTTTGATGCTTGTACAATATTTCTTGTTGAATACAAACTTTATTTGATAAGGGAAACAGCTGTAGGTAGTAGAAATTCAGTAGAGTCAGAGCCTGTTAAAAATTATTAGCAAGAAGTTGTATAGCTGTATTATTGCTAAGAAAGTTTCAGTTAACCTGAAAAACATTGTGACAACTAAAAGGAATAAAAAAATACATTTATTTCAAACTAAGCAAGATAAGGATTGTTTTTTTTACCAATGGAACTTTAGTCGATATTATTCAACTACTATACGGTTTAAACAATCTTTATGATATTTTTGAATATTGATTCCATGCAGGATTGTTGTTTTAAAATTAGGATTTGATAATAAAACAATACTTCGTAAACATGGCAATTTATTATTTCGTATAAAAAACTCCACTGCCTAAACATACATACATATTTAGACAGATTATATAAAAGTACAAAAACATATAGACGAATTGAGAACCTCCTCCTTTTTGAAGTCGGTTAAAAAGATCTTACATCTATGTAAACATAATTTCATTTAATTATAATGATATACGCAACGGGGTATATAAGTTTATTATGACAATACTTTGGACGTTATTGAGTCACATTACAAAACAATAAACATATACTAAAATCGTATAATTATTTGCTCTTAATTTTCATTTTATTCTAATTTATTAAAATAACTAAAACTAAACAATTAAGACCAATTTTAACAATAATCTCGCTGGCAACTAAATGGTTTTAAATTTACAATAAAAATTAGGAGATTTTTAAATTTATAAAATATCCCTAACTATAAACGCGTTAGTAAACAATTTAAAATTAATTAATTTCTATCAATTATAAATTAAATATTATAAATAAAACCGTAGCTTAAAAATATTTACAAACACTTATCTATTCTAATCTATCAATAAGTTGTTTTATTTTAAAAATCAAGAAATAATTTGTTGTCGAGTGATAGAATTAAAACAGAAATTGAAATTTAAAAGTGAATTAAATTCATTCGAATCTTTTTCTTCAACTAAACTATAAATAAACCTTAAACTAAAATATAACTGGTATAGAAGAAACTAATTAAAATGAAATAATGAAGATTCAATAATATATCTCACTTATTATTATGCGAATTAAAACATGCATTGTTGTATCACAGCTTATATATAATTTATTTAAATTTTATAATCTAGGGTTAAATAAAATCTTATAATTGGACGGAAAAATCTTATAGATTCTATATCAGAAAAATTTTTTTTTAAATAAAGGGCTTTAAAACAATTTTATGCCTAATCCTCATGAACAAAGATTTAAGTGTTTAATTAACTTCAAATTAAAAGAAATTTGAATTCTCCTGACACTAACAAAGGTATGATATTGCAAATCTAACCGTGGTCTTCCACTGCTGAGACACTTGGAGAAAAACCATGTAGATTTCTATGATTTTAGAACGAACTGAAAGTTGTGATAAAATAGTTCACAATTATTTAGACAGTAGAAACCCACAAATCCCTAAACTTAACTTATACTTTATTATGGGCTAAAAGCTCTTAACTAAAGACTTAAGTTAATCTATAAATGGGATGTTTTAAATGACTGAGATGCTAAAGGAATTTAACAGGATAATTTGTTTTGTTGTATTATAAGGCGGTCACGTGTAGCAGTTGTCTTCGTCGGCGTGGTCGGAGCAGTCAATGGTGCCGTCGCACAGCTGCGCTAATGTGATACATCTGCAACAGAGATACTGAATTACCAAATGTCAAAATGAAATACCTGTACAACATTTGGACATCCCTCTTATCCTATTTGAATTAACAGTGATTACAATATATTTTATCAGTTCGGCCGTGAATGCAGAATGTTATCTGACCTGCCGTCGACGCAGCGAAGCTCCCCGCTGGGGCAGGGCGAGGCGTGCGCGCGCGCCGGGCTGCTATAGCGGCCGGTGCCGCGGTGGCTGCGGGGCTCCTCCGTCTTCTCCCCGGCACCGCCGCTCCCGCTGCCCCCGCTGCCCCCGCCGCTCCCGCTGCCACCTTCCCCCTTGCCTTCGCCAGACTCGCCCACATCCTCTTGCAGATCGCCTGCTTTCTGGAATGTTATTTACATTTTACGTCTTTTTAAACTATTCATTAAATCATTCATCAACCAATCGTTTAGAAAAATATATTTACCTTCAACATTGATGCACCGTTTATAACCTTCTCCAGGTTATTTATTGACTTATCGAGATGAACGCCCATATCTGATATGGTCTCTCTTATATTTTCTTTGGCATCTTCTGGCATGTGCTGAGATGTCGTAGTGGTACGGAGAGTGGTCCGGGATGCTTTCCTCTGAGTTGTTTTTGTCTTGACTCGAGTGTCAAGTTTACCTTTGTTCTGCGCCTTGGTGTCATGTATAATGGGGCGGCTGTAGGGCGAAAGGCGGGCAGGCGACGGTCGCCTAGTAAAATTGCGTTTCAGGCCATTTTTACTATCGCTAGTCATAAGTATTTCCTTGCTGCTTTCAGACTCTCCTGAAAAATGAATATGTGGTTGATGAAAATCTTCTTACTTTATAAAGTCACGTTGATATTTTTAATAGTAATTCATACCATTCCGATGTACCGCGTCGTCAGCGTACCCTTTGGGCGTTTGGAAGGGCCTACGCACGGCGAGGGCGGGAGCGGAGCCCGCGGGCTCCTCACCGGGCTCGGGGTCGGCGTCGGCTACCTGCTCGTCGTCGTTATCTCTGCGCGCGGCGCACTGCTGCTCCGCCTCGTCCTCTCCGCGCGGACAGTCTGCGTAGCCGTCGCACAACCAGCGCGTGTGCACACATCCGCCCGACGGACAACTAGTGTTACATGGATATGAACAATCACGCTCATTACCAGCATTAGGAAACTAAGTACTTATAGAAAAGGTTTACATTTTAGAGGAGTTGAAGTGGTCAAAGTCATTAGTATAAAAACCTAGGTAGTCTTCATTAAAAAATCTCAGGGAAGGAGTAGCATCGGTTAAGTTCTTTACCGGAATTCGTTGCTGGCGCAGGCGGCACAGTGCGCCTCGTCCTCAGCGGCGGGACAATCAGCGGCGCCGTCGCAAGCCCAGTGACTGGGTACGCAGCTGCCGTCGCCGCAGGGCAACTCGCGAGCACCGCACGGGGATCGCGCCGACGCACACCCGCCCGTCGGGTACCGCGTGCAACCGAACACGCCCAGCAAGTCACGTGGTATCGACCCGTCGCAATGCTCCGCTACCGCTGCAAACAATTTTCTTGCGTTTGAAATAAGTTCATACAGAATAAAAGAGATAATCGGTATAAGAGTAGTAAAGACTGAGTAAGCATGCGAATGCTTTGTCTTTAGTCTTTTAAATATAAATACGCCTGTGAAACAAAACGTACCTCTACAGAGGCTGTAACAAGGCATCTTGTGTAAGTAAGGCGTGGGGCTGCACTCAGGCTCGAGCAGGGTGCATAGGAAGTGCGCGGCGCGCTCGCTGCAGTTAGAGGACACTAGGTACTCCATTTGCGGCAGCAGGTCGGTGACGTCGACGCCGTCCAGTGTTGCCGCCGGCCCCGCCAGGTCATACGGCAGCACGCCACGGCATAGACCAAGATGAGTCGAACGACATTGTGTCACTAAAATTGTCAACACAATTATTTGTGTAAATACTTAACAATCAATTCAAAATTTTGGACTCAAGTTGTTATTGATTTTTAATTGCAACTAGATTTTACTTTTAAATGATCATGCAGTAAACATATAGCTACACCGTAATTACCCATTTAAGTTGTTAACTTGCCTTTGCAATTAAGAAACTGTAAATTAATATTTTAAATATAATAAGTAAGTCAGTACCAACATGTTAAACTTGTTAAGAGTTCGTATTAGATTCATATCCTTAAATCTAAACTAAATTATAATCAAAACACATCTTAAAATAAACGTATGTTAAAACATATTTAAAAACGTGAACACGTGCATACCTTACAGTTAATTTCCATGCAAAAAATATTTATTAATCGTATTAAATAAAATATATCTTATTAATTATTTTTTTTAAATATTAGCTTTACACCGCAAATTATTGTAAGTCATCTGCATGCAATAGCAAAAAGTTTTCTTACCATCCAAATTGGCATTTAAAGGATATTTTTTAGTGGTTGTGTCGGCGTTGTCTCGCCACGAAGGCAGCGTGGGCGAGACTCGCGTGTTGTACAGCGTGCTCTGAGTTGTGGACTTCATGCTCTGCGCGTCTTCCATTGAAATGCCGAAAAGTTTCGAGTGGCCAGATGTGAAACGGTTTTCGGGATTTATGGGAGTGAGGCGATAGTAATCGTGGAGCGCCTGAGTTAGGTCGGGTTCGGTGGGTCGCTGCTTGGAATTAGAGTGCTCCTTGCGTATATACAATGAGGAGTCTTTATAAACTGGTGAATAAGGCTTACTTGTCGTCTGCTCTGTGGTCTTTGGCGACTCTTTCTCATCGTAATGTAGGATATCATTGTTGGTCTCTGCGCGGGTTATGGTCTCGGTGGAGGCGGCCACCTTGCCTTCGTCAAAGTAGATGGCTAACGGTCTCTCCGGGCTTTGAGTGATGTGCGGTTTTAGAGTGGACTCATCGCTGTTCATAATTGTATCGATTAATTTGGGAGACCTCATCTTCTCTGTATCGGCTCTCTCGTTACCGTACTGCACCTCTGGTGCGATGTGTGTGGGAAACACCGGAGGGACGGGAGTTCTTTTTTCACTCTTTTCCGTGACTGCTTCCATTAATGATGTTAAATCGATAGCCTTTACATTCTCAGCGTCGTAGAAATCAATTTCCTGTGGTTTTGTACCTGCATTTTGTAATAAGTAAATAACATTTAACAAATAAGTGACATAACATTTTTACTATAATTGTAAACGTATTCGATAAACATATCCTAAGAAATCGAAAGTGCGCAAATCAATTAATCATTGTAAAAATATACTGCATAAATAAATCTAACGTGTCTGTGATTTGACTTCAAACTTGTGTTTTTACATAAAATGAAACGCATATTGATTGTAAATATTTTTTGCGCGTTGTTGTTTTGCGTTGTTTGTGTTGTTTGACACCCGAGGGCAATGTGAACACACAAAGTGTACAAGTTGCTGTATGAAAACAAACTGTGCTCGTGGTTTCGATATTGAGTATATGTATATCGATGGTACAGAAAAGTGCGTACCAATTCGTGTTCTTAAATAATGTTTGTTAGATAAAGGCGGATTGCGAAAAAAAAATCAAGTTTAAATTAAAAGAACATTAAATTGTTGTAGTTCTTACGAATACTCTTGTAGTTAGATAGGGCAATTAGACGAAAATTCGATTTAAAATGTATCAAAACAATTGTCATATTAGACCAGACTGCCATTCTATGAAAACAAAAATCCGCCTCTATCATTGGAAGCTTTATTTCTCACGTGTTACGTTGATACAGAATGTTGGGTTTTCTGTAAGAAATAAAACCTCCCTCGACAAGCAATTGTTCAGTTAGCACATTACATCTACCTGTTTCAAACCAAAGCCTAAACATTGACAACAATGGATACACCGCCCAATTAACACTAAAGTATTTTAAGTAAACAGACAGAATCTATAAAAAATAGACTTTTTTACATAGCCAAATAAATTTAGATATCTATAATATACAATTTTACGTTACTCGGTCACAATTTCTTCAAAACTAAAACATTTTTGATGAAAATATGAAATAGTGTAATGACCATTGACGTTTTTTTTTGTTTAAAATATTTAGGCGTTGATTTGGAGTAGGGAAAAGGTGAATTGTCTTGCGTACGTATATTGCCTTTGTGTGACCCGTGCTGACCGTGCTCCGGCGGCTTGCGGCTGGGTTTGCCGGGCTGGATGCGGGACTGGGCATTGGCGGTGTCTTCCTGCCATGACGTTGCATTCACCGTGCTGTACTCTGATGATAGATTGTCTGGAAATGGAATTTAACGTAAGGTGAATAGAGTTTCGATTAGGATATAATAAGGGATATTTCTATTATTTACGGAATTATTATCAAAACATGCGACATAACAACGAGCTTGTTAACTGATGCACGTATCTACGAGTGACCTAAGCAAACCAGTTGAGGCGTGCCTTCATAGCATCTATATTTAAGAAATTGGTCAAAGGTCTTAGACGTTTTATGTCAGTGTTCAGTCTTGCAACCAAAGTTTTTGGTTAGTTATAGAATCTACAATTGGGTCACAAAAATGTTGCCTAATAACATGTTATAGTAGGCGTTAATTAAAAAAACGTTTTATCAAAATAATTTCTAATTTGTACAAACATACTTTAAATTCCTGACATCTAATGATCACCGATATTTACTGTTCTTGCGTTTGAAAGTTCGTAGGGGTGTGGTATAAGGCCAACTGTTTTTGCAATTTGTCAAGGTAAAGTCTGACAAACCGTGGGATTGACAACAACGAGCTTTGTCTCACACTTTCAGTTGCCAGCAAACTTTCAGAATTACGTCAATCAGGATGTTATTATGGTATAACACTCCATAAACATAGAAACACGTATAGAACATGGATTCAATCTTATCTTTTATTATTACCAAGATTGTATTAAAATCTGGAGACTTATGTATTAATTGTTTTCTTTACTTTATGGTTATCAAAACAAACTTGCATTGAAATTGATGACTTTTAAAATAATGTATGTACATAAAATTGTATAAAAGAAATCGCATTATAAATTACTCGAGTCGTTGTTAAATCGGGACACAAGTTATCTTGCTTAAAAAGAAGTTTGATTTATTGCATTTCTTTTTTAAACTTGACAATGACGTCTTCATTAACTTTTTATTAATTTAATGCGAGATAAGATGAAATTAATAAAAACAATGATGCGTTGTATCCTTTTTCATAACTTGAAAATTAATTTTATTTGAAAAGAAGACTCATTTTTGAATGATTAAACGATATTTTCATATTGAAAGTCTTTGACTTAAAATGAAAATGATTTATTTTCCTGTTTCGCTGATTTTGTTTAGCATTTTCTTGCTTTCTAAAATTTCAGTCAACTATGTTTTGTATCAACCAACATTAAACAAAACATAACAATTAAGAAATACCTAACCACAATTATAAAACAGATAAAATAGGAGCTATAAATCAACATTTACATTCAAAATTCGACTAAAACAAATGCAACTTCAACGGAAACAAGTCATCAGTCCATATAAAGACATTTGGCGAAAGAATTTAGTTTTATAATCGAACCAAATATTGTTACGAAATTGGAACACACTTTAGAAGGAAGCACCCACTCTTTAATCTATACTAATATTATAAAGAGGAAAACTTTGTTTGTTAGATTGTAATAAATAGGCTCAAAAACTACTGAGCCGATTTTAAAAAATCTTTGACCGTTAGAATGGTAATTTATCTGTGAGTAATATAGGCTGTACCTTTTCCTTTCTTTATAGTTACTTTTAAATTTCACGCATACGGAGTCGCGGGCAAAAGCTAGTAGCTAAATATGAAGAAGCGGGTAGTGAAAGTCCGGGTTCAAGATGTCAGAGCGCGCACCCACGGAGTCTTATCGTCATTAATCCTTACCCTTGCGTAACTGTTCCTACTCTAATAAAGTACACGTTACATATACGCTCGTACAAGTTTCAGTCCTTTTTTTATGTCTTTATGCTGCACACGATCTGTTTAGATAAATCGTATCACTTACAATACAGTGAAATGTTGCTCTTAATCTTACAAACAGTAACAAATAACTATTTTATAAACGTAATCATTCTACTCGTAATATTATAAATGCGAAAGTTTAGATGGATAGATGTTTGTTTGATTTTGTAGCCTAAACGGCTGAACGGATTTTGATTAAATTTGGCTTACATGTAGACGATAGTCTAAAAGGACACATAGGCTACTTGCATTTGTTTTTTTAATTCCGTGCGGACGGAGTCGCGGGCGAAAGCTAGTAAATGAATTTAATTTATCATATAATAATTTATTATTTTAGTAGACAGTTATTAAATCGCTTAACTAGTTTTGAGTGTCTAGTTTATCTAAACAAACTTCTCACTTTAAAGTTCTCGTCTACTACTGTTAACTAGCATTCAATTACAGATATAGTAAAAAAAAATCTAATATCTAACTTAATCTTTTCCATTACTAAGTATTACAGAATCTCTGGCTATATTATCTCACTTAAGATATTCGTAATCGTAATAATTACAAGGAATACGTAAATAAGCTCTGAAATAAACACGTATTTTAATCACTAAACGGGAAACGGTTAACAGTAACAAGTTATTCGTCCACTTACAAGCAATCAGGGTGTTTTTCGTTACATAAGAGCAGTAAAGCAACAAATTAAATGTTATTTTAAAAGCAGATTAACGTGCTTTAGCGCCGTTACAATCATCCGTGTGTCCATTTCACACGACATGCGAATCTCTTTCCTACTTGCAGATATCTTTACAAGTGACGCAACAATGAAAACTAGTGTTTAGAAAACTAACAGTTTTTCATAATGATCATTAACATTATGTTATAAAAGTACTCATTAAAAGCCAACATTAGTTTCCCATAGCTTTACGTAAATAATACGTAACAAAGACTCATTATCTGTACTTATTTTAGAAGTAAAAAGTGTACGTTACTTTTAGAATGTTGAAGAAGTTTTGCGGTTGAATAGTAAAAGTTGTTTGTACAAAAATATTACAGCAATTGTGTATCTGATTGTGTAACTAAACAATAAAAACCTTCTAAGATATATCTTAAACATGAAAAGGATTATTACTCCATACTGTCAACATTATGTTATCTTTTTAAAGTTCAAGTTGTTGGACAAAGGTAACAATGAAAGTATGGTCAGAGTGCAACATGCACATGTGTGTAAAATCAATATTGTAATATATTTAATGTCGAAGTACAATAGCGGGCGTGAGGTCAACTTTCTTTTTGCCAAATTGAACGAATAAAAGAGACGATTTGAGAGCGTCCTCTGGAGATATGAGTACATCCGGACATGGCGCCGACAAATGCTCGCTCGCAAATGTCGGTGAAATTCTGAATAATTTAGTATCGCCATTAAGATATCCCTTTGCGTGTTCATAGGGAAAGCGAATTAAAACACGCTAAGGATGAAACATTTTACGAGTATTTTGATATTCCTTTTAGTAAGTAAAAAGCTTATGAAACCGATTATCCGTGGATGTTTTGAAAGTTACTACGTAATTGGTGATTTTTATACATTAAAATGCCCTTATAACTGTTTCTTTATGCAAATTACTTAGCAATTAAATCTGTAGTCGACCATACCGTAAATGGACAAAAAGAAAATAATAAATTAATTCTGTTACAGCGATGGTTAAGTCTCCTACATACACTCAGTTATAACTGATAGTTTTAGCTTACGTCTATGTGTAGGTACAATTTTAATTAAACATTTTAACTGTTTTAACTGAACAGTTCGACTCTTCAATTAGACCGTATGTAATAGACATTATGCATATGTTGTTTTAATTTATTTGTAACAAAAAATAATCTAAGCGAAGACTAATATTATTTGATTTAAATTTATAAATCCTTTTATTCGCTCACGATAATGAACTAATCAGCAAAGTTACTGCAAACGGAAGTCATTTCTGATGACGCAACTGACGTTTCGTCAGCCATGACCTTTACCATCTAACACGCTACCGCCACATTTCATATTTATAATTCCGCAAAAAGCTTGTTGTGACAGTAATCTTGTAGAACATAACTTTTGATTAAACTCGCTGACATAATATTGTGAGAAAGTTGAGCTTTTCTAAACAAATTCCTTACAACTTTTTACTTCCTTATTATCCAAAATGTTATTATGAATTCCATCGAATTTGGACATTCCAGTTGAATGATATATTAGCGAACTATTTATTAGAATTCGGCATATAATATTCGAATAACAAATACAACATTTACTACTGAATGAAAATAATAGGTATTTTTTTTTAATTTCCTAAGTCTATCGCCTTTTATATCCGGCCTCATTTATTGATCTTAGAGTAAATACCAAAAAAAAAAACATTCCTATCAGATTATTACATCGTACTGTATAATCTTTACATCGAATTTGTAAAGTTTGAAAGGAGTTATTTTTATTATTAGCGTTGAGGCTTCGCCTTGTAATTAACACTTTTCGTAACAACAACTATGTCGACTGGCAGTTATTTAAAAAAGAAATATAAAAGAAATCAACAAGAACAGCTTATAATTTAAAAACAGGTGTCACAAAAGGTGAAAGCTTCGGAAAGCGATTACATTGATAAATTGATTGTAAAATATTGAAAGTAAATATTCTGAGCTTTTGCTTTTGTGTATTGATGACAATTGATAACGGATTACACCAACTTTTGTTGTTTTTAACACATCGACTTATAGTTTAACTTGGACAACTGTTAAGACTTATAAATTTGTTAAAATAAATTACTTTAGTAAATTACTTAGTCTCACACAGTTACAAAATAGTGTAAGATTTCATAATACATCATTAAAAAAATCTGTAATAATGAAACAACATCAATCGTAGCTCTAGTTTATTTGTTAAATAATCATAAAACTGACCTGGCATGAGGAAGTAGACGAAGATAGCCAAGGCAATACACACGCTGAAGAGAGCGACTGGCCATCGTAGGATGCGTAACACACGCACCACTTTGCTGCTGGCCACGCCGCCGCCAACCGGCACGCGGTACAAGCTATCGGGATGCGAGCCCTGGAACAATGTTCAAACATTAACACCTCAAACTCATTCTAAATGTATCTGCTTTATAAAAGAACTTCATTATCATCGACTGCTGTCCACTATCAAACATAGTACAAGATTAGAACGGTACGGAATGTCGAAAGTATAATAGTAACTATAACATAAAACAATTCAAACGTATCTTTAAATTTTAATGAATTTTAGGAATTATGTAGGGTGATAACGTACCAATGATGCAACATACTTAAAATTGTATTTTTTCTTAAAAATTGTCATGATTAAAACGCAACCTGTCCGTTACGTTTTAGAACGATGAACCAATAGTTTATTTGATAAATGAAACACGACTAATCACGGACACGCACTAAACTTCACTACAACCATAATTAACATACTCGTTACAAGTGAAGCGCATTTGAGACTTAGGGTGAGTTGCACCATATCGCCGGTTACCGTTAAAGTTAAAATTATTTGAAATGGTAATATTTGGAATAATCTTAAAATTTACTAAGGATGAGTTACATTAACTAACTATAAACCTTAACCAGCACATTCCCGATGGTTACGTCTTCGGATGTTCATGATATTCGCTACACCAGTTTTGCGCTGGTCAAAATGACGTCATATTTGACACTAATCATAACCGCCCGATTTTGGGCGGTTATAGTTAGCGTTACGGTTAGTGTCAGTTCGGTAGTGTCAACTGTCACAAGCTCTTATCTTCAAAAGCACAAATAATGGAAAAAGTAATGGAAAAAGAAAATATCTACTATTATCCTATACGTAATCCAGAAGAATAAAGTCTTGCGTGCTCGGAAATAATGGATTTCCAAGATGGAACTCGAAATTTGGCCAAACATTCAGTTTGGACAAATTTCGAGTGTCTAAGGCCATAGCAACAGCGCTTGTCCCTTTTCTCTTATTTAAAAAAATGTCCTCCATAAAAGGTCAATTTATAATATGCATTGACAGGACAATTTATAATATGGAAAATAAATAAGATGCATTTATATTTTTATAATTTTATTGCTTCATTTTTGCTACATATTTGAGTAGTAAAGTAAATACAGTTTCAATAATGGCCCAAACTAGTTTATTTTCACAAGAGTTTGCCATTTTCTCCATCTTCGTGGGCAAAAAGTTTATTTCACTATTAAATACCATGCGTATGATACATAAATATAATCGGCGAAACATGAATTTCCAAACATTTTAATTTACGTAAATGTCATTCTTGACACCAACTTGACACTTTAGTGACATTCAGGTTTAAATGTTTCCATTGTAAAAACGAAAAACACATAAAACCTCTGTGAGAATATGTTTTTGCACTTGTAACCCTATTATAACTTTTACGATAACCAGCGATTTGATGCAACTCACCCTTAATAATTAATGGTTTATGTTACAAAAGGTCAAATAACGCACTTCTTTATATTGTACGACCTTACTTTAAAAGAATTCATTCAAATGGAATCTATTATTTATATAATAACGTAAAAATTAATCGCGATATTAAATAATATAAAATAATTTGATGATGTTAGAGAATTTAATAAACTATAAGGAGAATTCGTAACTTTGAGATCTAAGAGGTCAAAGAACAAGCAGAATGCGGACAACGTAATAAGCATAAAGCATCTGCCTACCGTTTTAGGAGACTTATGAATAATATTGAAAGTCGGTAGTAATTACGAAAATGACTAGAAAGGAAAAAATGCTTTGACAGGAACATAATTATACACTTAATACTTTCTCATAACCCATTTATGGCAACTTTTTTTTTTTTAATTAAAATTATATACCAAGAAATATTATTAACAACTTTTTGAGTGTTCGTAAATTGATTATCCGAATTTGGGATGAGTCAAATAAGGGCTTTATAAAAATATTCGTAACCCACAAGTCAAGTAGTGTGCGTGAGCGTAAAACAGAGACGTATCATACGTCATGCGTTGAGAATTTTAAATATAACAAAGATTTTGTTTGGTATCAGCATCATGTCTTCGACTAATGATATCACTTAGTTCCTGACTTCAAAACTATAGACAAACGCGTCGTAAATTTCATAAACATGCAGTTTAAAGTTTAGATACTTTAAAGCCTTTAAATTGACATTGTTATTGTCGTAAGATACCGTCAAGCACTTAAACTTACCTTGGCCACGAACGTCTTCACTTCCCGCGGCCTGGAGAAGTATTTATCGAGTTTCGTTTCGTAAGCGTGAGTGACCTCTTCGTCAGTCGGTGTCCGGATGGAGCGGATGCGATACGTGCTGAACTGTTCCCCGTGCTCGGATATCGTCGGCAAGTTGCCATTGGGGGAACTGCAGCTGCTGCTCGATCTAGAGTAAGCATAGTTAACCGATCCGTCCGTAGGGTTCTTAGGTTTCTTCGTGAAGGCGTACCGTCGAGGTGGCTCCTCTGTGGCTTTTAAATCGTATGTTTCGAACTTTTCACTCACATAGTGCTCCTCTACGTCTGTAGTGGGCACGTAACGGAGTAGTCTCGGTTCCTTCACTTTCTTCTCGTACTTGACAGAATCCGTCTCGTTGTCGAGTTGTGCGAGGTTCAAGGAGTACTGCAGTTCGTTGGCGGTTCTGTTCGGTTTCCTTTTGGTTTTCTTCTCAGCGGCTCGCGCGTGGACATGATCTTCGACTATTTCTGACTCGGACGACGGCCTGTCACCGTACAATACGTAATTGCCGTTTACCATTGTGATGAAAAATTTCAACACTTAATCACTTCGAGAAGCTTTTGCCGTATTCAAATGCAGTTTGTATTTAGTAATCATTTCGCCACTTATTAATTTTTATCTTATTGCTTTATTTGACTTGGCTGATGATGAATGCAAATGACGGTGTGCTCTCAGCACAATGGGTGCGAGTCTATCGTAGCGCTGCTACTGATTGAATACAAATTATTGAGAATGCGACTTGTTTATTTGTTTTGTTTGTAAACATTTGTGTTAATTGATGACTTCGTTCGATTGTGTAATGAATTCTTCGTTACTCTTTTTAAAACAATTCGAATGTGAAATTGATAAATATTTTTAAAAGAAAATATTAACTACTTTGGATATTAACATTTGTTGAAAATATTAAATGCTTTTGTGGGTCGAGAAATAAAAAAATGGTAACAGAATTAGATACAAGCACAATTACTTGAATGGAATTCTTCACTTTGGTACAGTTCTGTACTAGTCCAGTTTGTAAAAATCGTAAATAAAGAAAACCTAAATCAATATTCATATTAACTATGACCAATCTCTTATAATTTATGAACCAACACCAACGTAGTTCTACAGGATAATTTATCGGGTGTACACGTTGAAGCAATTTTTTTGTTGTAATTCATGCTATTACTGTTTATGCACTTTTAAAATAAAGAAATAACGGGACTTCGATTTTTAACTGCATTGTGAGCTTGAAGTTTACGGACAGACAAACATTCTAGAATCTGAGCGTCTAGTCATCAACCAACCATATACCATTTTGTAGACGTAGGAAATCTTATTCATCTATGAAAAATAATGATTAATCAATTAAAATCATCAATATAAAATAAATAAAAACAGTTGTAAATATATAGGTCATTGCTATTATCACTCCAAACAATTAATAAACATTATTTTTCCTGAATACAATACGTAAAACAAAACAAACGTTTATTCTAGAACAAGCAATGAGAACATAGATGTTGTAATCAGCGGGCTGGCAGGCAATAGATAACATTTGGAGCGTTATGTCGGCCGTCATTGTTTGGGCGGAGTTCCCGCGCTTTTTGCGCGTTTCGCGGGAAAGTTCCCAGTAAAGCGCGTGCGCGACAATGGCGCCGCGGCCGGTGTTGCGGTGCACGCAACGAGAGTGAATTGCTCGCTATTGTGTAACCGCCTCAAGTGCTTTTGTGCAACTGATGTGCCGTTAATGCAACTGATGGATGGAGATAAGACACACTATGCTTAATCAACATTAACATTTAAAATCAAATACTTTTGTAATACAATAAATTATTCAGTGAATGTCAAAAAAGTACTTAAAGTTAGAACAAGGGTCCGTTCAGACAGACCGGATAGAGAAGAGCAGTTTTAATGTTACTTTCCAGGACTTTTATCAAGACCAAGCGTAAAACATGTGAAATTTAAACTTGTTTCCATAGCATAAAGCTTAATTTTGTTTGTTTTTAAAAATCTACCCTCAGGTCTGGCTGAACGGAACCAAAGATTTGAAGTGTTTAAACCAACATTTTACCTACATTTAAATCGGAGATTGGTTTCTGAAGATATTTCAATTAATAAACCAAGCATGTACCTTATTAGCTTGGAGAAACTTATCTTGAAAATCAATTAAAGTGCCCGTCGGCTCAATGGTGGCGCAAGGTACTTGAAACGTGATTTTATGTATCTTAGATGAGTAATGATGATTGTTGCATTAAAACTACTCATTTAATAAATTCCACGGCAATAAATGTATTGCAGAAATCTACAGTCTTTACCTTATCTTGTTTTGAAACAATTTAAAACCCATCCTACTAATCCTACTTCCTACTAAACCTACTAATATTATAAATGCGAAAGCTAAGATGGATGGATGTTTGTTAGAGTTTGTAGCCAAAACGGCTGAACGGATTTCGGTGTTTGATATAGATGTAGAGGATAGTCTGGAAGAACACATAGGCTATAGTCAATAATAACCTCTGTACATAATATATAAATTCCTCTACTTTCTTAATTATTTCTATTTATGTAACTATTTAATATTATTTCATATGTATTTAATTTATCTACATGCTTATTATTAATTAAAAAAAAACAAAGGTTATAGTTATTATTGACATAAAGATACAACACTACATTAATAAGACTAATAATTTAAACTCGATCTCAAACCTTATTATTTTTAGTTTACGTAAATTATTAAGATGTTACTTGTTGTGTCATAGAATAATATTCATACTAATATAGCGAACAATCAATTCTAGCAAATAAATATTTGGTTTATTTAAAAAATATAAATGGTTACAACAATAACGATTTCAATCATTTAATGTTATTTATAAAGCATTAAGGTTTAAAAATGCGTGAATCGGTATAATAGATGTGTTCAATTGCTATTAACAATTACTGTTATAAATTTATAAGAAAAAATATTTATAAAACTAGTAATTTTGAAATATGTGATTCGAACATCTAAGTAATCACTAATATTGTAATATCTGTCAGGAAAAAGGTAATCCTTGATCTATGATAGGTTTCGCAAGTCACAAGATCTTTCGAGGTTCATACCCTGTACTTTATCGACCCCGAACTTTACGTCGAATTATCATCGCCTATTGTCATTGGATTTATTTTATTGCCTTGATGTGTACCGTCGAATTGCGAACAATAGTGGCACATTATTCGAATATGAAATATTAGTTATTTTATGTATTGTATAATTTAAATTGTAAGATTATTATGGTTGGCATCTCTTTATCCAGAGTTGAAATTAAGTAAATATATTTGATTTTTTTTTCATCGTTCAATGTAATTTGAGTATTAACAGTTGATATTTTTAACAATCAAATTAATAAAACTAGTTAATTTCGAAAACCTGAGAGAGAGATGTCTGCAAAACATAAAAATCTATGAAACCATTGTCATTCCTCTCTTTTTATAATAAAAATAAAGTCAACATGTTTAGTACGATGTTTCGGCAGTGAAAACGGTTATATTGTAGATGCGGAACAATAACGAGAAGTCAAATAGTGCATGCGTAGCGGTCGGCGTACGGTAACATCGTCACAAGCCAGCGAGCTTGCGGCCTGCTCATTCTGTTCTAATTAAAATTGCACGACAATGTTTGAACTTCCGTTTGTCCGTTAATATTAAGTTATTAAATAACGTTACAACGTTAACGTTGTACCTCACACCACATTTAACACAAGTATATATTCTAATGTCTCAAGTCCCTAGTTTGTATGGCAATATGTAAGATTTCATCGCAAGCAAAAAAAAGGATATTAGGAAAATTGACAATGGTCCGATAATATTCATTTTATGTAAACAGTTGCTTTATGAAGATATTAAATCTGATGTATTCTATATCATATAAGAACACGTAGGCTACTTATTTTTATTTTTTTTTATTCCGCGCGGACGGAGTCGCGGGCGAAAGCTAGGTGATATATAAAGAGGACAGATTTGTATTTTTGGATTTCTGTATGTATTGAAATAACTTAAAAACTACTGGACCGATTTCAAAAAATCCTTGCACCGTTAAAAAGTAAATCACTAAGTAACAGGCACTATTTTTACTATTTTAATTTCACGCGGGCGAAGTCGCGAGCAACAGCTAGTCTTTAGTTGAACGTGTACAGTCCGAAACCATAACCGCAATACATGGTAACTAAAGAGCATAACTATAGAAACCACAAAACAAGAATTAAACGTAGTCACTAAGAATAACCACTTAATTTCAAGTTAACACTCATAGTTGTAACCAAAATAAAGTTTACCCTGATATGGTTAAGTAAAATTTAAAATTTACGACATGTAGATTATAAAATCGAACAAGAGCTAACTTCTCTTATGGCCGGTTTCCCAGTATAACCGTTCGTTAGTGTTTTTGGTTCGATAAATTCATCAGAACTACGTAACTTGAGTTTTATTCCTTCGAAATATAGATCAACCTAACACTATTAAATCTTAATGTAAACATACTTATATTATAAAAAAAAACGTACAGACGAATTGAGTACCTCCTTCTTTTGGGAAGTCGGTCAAAAAGCGAAAGATTAGATGTATGTATCGATGTTTGTTAGAGTTTGTAGCCCAAACGGCTGAACGTATTTCGATGAAATTTGGTATAGACATAGAGGATAGTCTGTAAGAACACATAGGCTACTCAATTTTGTGTTTTTTAATTCCACGCGGACGGAAACACGGGCGAAAGTTAGTGACAAAATAAGGGAACTTCAGATACCCAGCATTAGTGAATGCATAGTGAATAGAGCAATTTGCTATATATTTAATTTTCTGAAAGTGGCACACAGCTGTACTAAAATATAATAATTCTAACATACTCATAGGGTGCCCTAGTTTAGATAACATATTAATGACTCTAAATAATGTTAGTTATAGAAACCGTGTTAACGATATATTATCATGAAATCATAATAAAACTACTATGTTAAAGAAACAATATTTAAATGAAGCTATTTATATTATTCTAATTTTTCCCCGCGACTCCGTCCGCATGGAATTAAAAAAAAAAGTGTGTAGCCTATGTGTTCTTCCAGACTATCCTCTACATCTGTACCAAATTTCACCGAAATCCGTTCAGCCGTTTAGGCTATAAATTCTAACAAACATCCATCCATCCATCTAAACTTTCACATTTATAATATTAGTTAGATTAGATTTGATATTTAGTTTAAAAAGTTTTTTAATCTAAATCAATGTTGTTTAAATTATTGTTATTTTTTTAAAGTTGCAGCGAAGGCTTTATTTATGTTAAAACTACAAGGCAAGCTATTAAATAAATATCTTTTAAAAGAGAACATCCAATAGAGCTTGTATTATAATGCGAGCTGTTTTCTTGTCTATAGTCCAGACTAATTGATATGCGGGAAGTTATTGGAGCATTGAACTGTGACACAATTAGCGCCGTCACTGACCGTTAGTTAACAATAAGCACTCGCTTTCAGGAGAAATCTTTATGTATGCCTGTTAATGTTGGTTTCCACTGACGAAACATTTATTGAAAAATACTGCCATTCCTTTCATTCTCTTTAAAAAGACGGAGACAACATGTTTTAATCCAAATGCTGCGCAATGGAATTCAACTTTAACTTTTATTATTATTCGTATCCTCTATAGACAACTGCCATAAGTAATGCTATTAAAAGTATATGAAATTGTACTATCGAAATAACAGAAAGAAATGATTATTTCAACATTTATGATAACACAACCATATTTATATCAACTGCTAAATTCACAATTGATTGTTTGTTAGCTCGACAAATTTACATACTAATATTAATCTAATCTATTTATAATATTACTAATCTTACTAATTTTATAAATGCGAAAGTTTAGATGGATGGATTGATGTTTGTTAGAGTTTGTAGCATAAACGGCTGAACGAATCTCGATGAAATTTGGCATTGGCGTAGAGGATAATCTGGAAGATCACATAGGGAAATTACTTTTATCTTTTTTAATTTCGAGCGGACGTAGTCGCGGGCGAAAGATAGTTTTGTATATAAAACGTTATCTAGATTTTAAATAGTTTTTATAATTTTGTAATAAACATTGAGGTTAAGGCAGTATATTTGGAACATAACAAAGTCTCGTTAAAGGTTAGTACAACTGGACAACATATGGAGAGATAGTTAAAATTCAGTTCCCACACTAGTGGCTTTAAACGACATAATGTGTAAGTTTAAACATGTTTAAATTGAGGGCCGCAGAGTAAAAGGTCAGTTTGACTCCGTCCTCAGTTATATTAGAAGTTTATTGTACTATGAAAATTACTTTGTAGATTAATGGTTTAATCAATACTCGCACTTTACTGATAAAATCGGGTTCATAATAAAAATTTTAACATTTAGATATTGGATGAGATGAAATTTTTGTTCGACTTCTGATTTTCAGAACATTTCAGGATTCAACCCCATCCCTTAATCATATAAACACATCTTTTTTAATAGATAAAGTTTACATATGCCGTCTGTTATACAATTATTGTATTTTATTACACCGGATGATATCAAGAGAAATGCTTTACGTCTTAAATTACATCTGGAAATACCAAAAGTAGAAGTCAAACGATCCGTTGTTTGTTTACAAACAAAATGCTAAGCCGAAAACAATCGAGGCACATTCATACGGCGCATCACAAAGCGAACACTGCGCGGCGCGGCGCGGCGCGTGCGCGTCAATTTAAAACAATAACACACAACACGTCTCCCGGCGCGTCTCAATACACTCTTAGTCATTAAAAGAAAACCGTGGAACAATTGCATGAGTTGCTAGAGCAAGGCTGCGCGTGCGACTGACTGCCGCCATCAGATGGCACCACCGTTGCACCACCACGCATTGTCAACACAGCCGTGGAAACCCACCAGCTAAATCATTTACGCAACCCATTATATCCTACAGATACAAGATAATTTTTTTCTCACTAGCAAAGGTAAATAATTAAGATAAAACAATAGCTAGATAATTGTAATCTGGAAAACACGATGTACATATGTGTTGTATTTATAATTCTATATCGCTATTGACACAAATACATGTTTAATTAGGTATTGTTCAAAACGTGTATAAAAATGTTAACTTACTTATATTTTCAACGTAATACATACCGTTACATTTTATAATAGGTTTTCGCTGTAAAATTCAATAAGAAAATTATTTATCAGAAAACGTACGTGTAATATTTTTAATATAATTGCTTGCATATTACAATTATTTCTGGTTAATTTTTCATTTTACGGAAGATAATGCAGTCTCGTATTTCTTTAGATAGTGGCGTTTCCACAGATCCTACTCAATTTTAATGTTGTTTATGTCAAATTCCTCTATCTCCTCTAATAAATAAATAGAAGTTTTGAAATAAATACGTCTCGTAAAACCGAAAGAAATAAAGTTATGATAAAGTAGTTAAATACTAACTAGGCTTTAATTAAAATATTTTGTACTGCTTATCTGCTGAATATGCTTGTACATAAATATTTCTTACATGACATGCGATTATTTGGTACAAATTACAAAACTTGGTTGTACAAAACAATGCTTAGTTCACAAACAAGACAACGCAGACGTGCAAAAACCTATTGCATGGCCGTCCAATTACTCGTATATACGTTAATAAAACAGCGCAATGGAAACACGTCAAAGTAGCTAATAGTAACCAGCGTCGATTATTGTGAGCGGGAAAAGAACTCGCCTCGTTGAATATAACGCACGCTTAATGACTTCATACTAAAGACTTCAACGGGCGCTCGGAGTTAAATTTTATATTAGATCATTAGTTCTTTTTTTAATCTGTCATGTCTACATTACGTTAAGTATACAGAATATCAATAATGTATTTTTAAAATAGATTTTCGTAAATTGATTCGTTTACTGTTTAATTAAAAATATCATCATTTTATATTAGAAATCATTTCTATTAAGTTGCGAAATAGAAGCCAGTTAACACATAATTTGTAGACAGGTAGCGCGGTACACGACTGAATAACGATGAGAAAGGTGTTCATTTCGACATCGAAAGGCACATTCGGCTCTTTAACCGAATAACCTATGACCTAACAATGCGGTCGATGATTTTAGTCGCATATAGAAAAATAGGTTTAAAAAAAATCTTAACAAATAAGAAAGTAAGTATTTTAAAATATTATTTTAACGTAAAGCTTTTGAACTTTGCCGATCACGAAACGATACTTTAAACAACTCAATTGGCATTAATTACGTTTTATCGTTTTCAACAACTTAAATTAATAAAAAAACATTAGCAAAGCAAAGAAAACACGGTCACATCAAAGTTATTAACTTTAACTTGTCCTTCATAAGTATTTATAAGTTATCATTAAAATTAAACTGATCATATTAACTTCATAATTTTCTTGTAAACTAGTTTTTACGTAAAAGTGTTTAATCGATATAATTAGATATGCGAAATGTGAGCCGATGTTATATTAAGTTACTCACCAATTAATCTTTCTGTGTCACACTATAATATTCAAATTAAATACATCTTTAATTAATTATTAACACTTTCATATGGCGACGATGTTAACAGGTTAAGTTACGAGTCCGTAGCTAATCTAATATACCAGAGGTTCTCAAACTACGGGTTGCTAGCGATTATATTACGAGTATTGATTATTGATTTACATTTTGCTTTGCACATTACTGACACATTTGCTTTTATCTACGTATACTGTTCTTTTACAGCTAAGATAAGTTTACTAAAATTGTTTATTCGATATAATTTAATTCGAGTTCTTAGTTTAAATATTTGGCGTGATCTAAGATCGACCAGCTTAAAGCTGTTTACCTAATAAGGTAGTAAATTATAAATTTATCGCCATCGGTCCATGTTAGACGTCAAGGGCAACTACGCATCTCTATTTCATTTTATTACAGGATGTAGGCATTAAAGGCTTCAGGCAATCTAGCTTTATTAATTGTATAAATTAAAGACATAAATATCTTACAAAACAACTCCTTACATTTCATTCTTCAACTTCTTGATTTTTTCTTTCGTTATTTTAATTTATTTTTGGAAATGGTTCATATTATAATAATAACTTTTTATGTACTGCTCTATTAGGGGTAATTCTTATTAATGAAAGCATAACGCAAGATTCCAATAGATTTTCATGAAGCAATGTAACCTATGAACACGGAAAGAAAACATCATAACAAATGTATGACAATGTCAAAAGTCATAGCCCCGTTTTCACTGTGAACTGGAATTCGTTAAGTATATCGGCAATTGTTACGTAAGCGTGCGTTGCTTATTAAGTTATTTCACTGATTAAATTGCCTTATCTGGACAGGATTAATATTTACATTTTAATGACATAATCCGCACATCTATATCTCACGTCTCAATAATATGAATAGTTAGTTACTAGTAGCTTTAAAGAAAAAAAAAAACATACAGACAAATTGAGCCTTTTATTGGGAAGTCGGTCAAAAATGAATGTAAGTAGTCAAATAAATAAACTAGAATCGCCTTGTTTAATTCCTGCGGTATTAGTTTTAAACGGAATAATAAAATAATTGAATTCAATACTCACAACAACCTCCCCAGATAGTTTCTGAGGTCTTAGTTCATCATCCAATGGCCTGCTCGACAACAAAACACAATTATCGTCTGTTCTCTCAGCTCGTTTTGTCTTTCTATTGGAAACTCCATCTTCGTTCACAACATACACGTCATTAGATTTAAACAAATTGCCTATATTAAACTTCCAGGCGATATTACTTGAATATTTATTAATAAAATATATAAGTACTTCAAGAAAAAATTTCAAAACCCATAACACATTTTTGTACATTTTAAATTTTTGAATATTTTCTTAATTGTTTGCTTATAACGCGATCATTTACATCAAGGATACAGGGCTAACTGTTTTGTGCAGTGATTCAATTTCTGTGATCGAATCTCGACCATTATTGTATGACGGTACTCTATTGTTCCCTCGTAATGTTTGCAATCGTCCTAAATTGTTTACATAAATGTGATGCAATTATCCTGTAATACATCTAAACATCGCATTCGCCATTTTATCCTTACTTATTGATAAACAACTTAGCACTCACTAGAATAACTCAGAGTTTATTAAGGTAGGATATGGGAAGACTATTTCCATTCAGAATACTCTCTACACAACTCTTTCTTTCTAGAATACAATAGAATAATGATATATAAATGTATAATATCTACCCTATTACTAATACACTCGTATTCTAATACTTTATTTCCAAGAGAAATAATTCGATTCAAATTATATTGTTATTGAAATGTGTTGTTTCAACACAAGCGAGGTATTTTTATTAAGTCGCTTCGGTACCGCAATTAATCGATAATCGTTGGATCTCGATTGTTCGCATCGGCGACGGGTCACGAGATGATTCTAATAATTCGAGGCGTGCAATGTTTACCGCGTGTAATAATATGTCAGACCGCCTGAGGGTATTTTGTCGACCTTTGTTTGACATTTTCATAGCAATGCGCCGATTTTGGTTAAGGTCTCGATTTGAATCGGCTTAAGGTTGATCTTTAGTTTAATTGAAGTACTAATGTCATCCGCATTCTGATAATATCTATACATCTTTGAACAGCCACTAACGTACACAATGGCAAGGTTTAAGGATTCGAATTAACCGACGATTGCCGTTTTTGAAGTCCTATAAGCCAATAACATTAATTAAATTCTGTCATCTATATCTTACTATACTAATATGATAAAGCGTAAACACTACTTCGTAGCGTAGGGTGTCAGAATCACAGCATGTTTTTCAATAATACTTTCTTTAAAAAGCCGTAGACTTACAACACATATTTTCACGCTATTCGGCATAGGAGGTAAATAAATAGAAAAAAACCCTCATGTGGGAAAGGGAGCATAAACTACAAGCTGCCAACATTAGGGAGCAAAGTTATTATGGTAAATTTGACAAATGTAAACAATAAAGTAAAGTTTTTATAATTTCATGCGCGAGAAGCCGCACGGGAACAGCTAGTTTTATTATAGGGGTGTTAGTTTTTTATGTCTTCTGCAAATAGTAGATATATCTGACCAATTTCTGATTTGAAATTCTAGTACAGTAAACAGATTTGAACACTAACATCGCAAGTCATAGGTGGATACAAACACTTCTAAACTAGCACGTTGAGCTGAATGTTTACAAGTGCTGTCAGAGAGGCAGCAATTTGCATTCCGTGTCGACCCAATTGGCTGTGATAATACTGCGTAACCAAATTGGTGCTGTGTGAACAACGAGAGAGGTATGGAGTAATGAAGAAGCCAATTAAACGCGGATTACGTGCTATCTTAGATCCTATCTTCAGATGTATTACAAAGTCTATTAGATTTATTTCTATGTCGTGATGAATCGGTTTTTGTACATTCATTTGTTCAGTGGCTTTTAAGAAGCATTGCGTAACCCCAAGCGTGAAATTCCATTACTCAAACTAGTGTTAAAACATATTTTTATATATGTTTTTTCAAAGAGCGTGAAAGGGATGACAATATGTTGTTATACAAGTGTTTAGACAATAGAGACCGACGAGTTATTACGTTCGTTCGCATATAGCCGGACGCGCTTCGATCCTTTTAATGCCCAAGATGTAGATAATCGATTGACAGGTCACGAAAGTCGAGTATCGATTTGCATGAACTGAATAAAAATGGAGCCATGAACGAAGGTCGAAGGCCGACGTGTATTTATCACGTCCGGGTAAATGCATAACATCGTGCTTCTGGTTTACATAGATGTAGGCAAGATGTAATAACAAAGATTAAAACAGAGTAAA